TCCATACATCGCTACTGCAAAAACCATAGGATTAACTATGCGGACTTTTGTCAGCAAGGTGATGTCTCTGCTTTTTAAGATGCTGTCTAGGTTTGTCATTGCTTTCCTCCCAAGAAGCAGCCGTCTTTTAATTTTGTGGCTGTTCTCACCATCTGCATTAATCATGGCGCCCAAGAAAGTAAAATCTGTCACTGCCTCCTTATCTTCCCCTTCTATTTGCCAGGAGGTGATGGGACGAGGGACCATGATCTTAGTTTTTGTGATGTTGAACTTCAGACCATTTTTGAGCTCTCCTCTTTCACCCTCATTAAGAGGTTCTTTAATTCCTCCTCACTTTCTGCCATCAGAGTGGTATCATCTGCATAGCTGAGATTGTTGATATTTCTTCCGGCTATCTTAATTCTGGCTTGGGATTCATCCAGTCCTGCCTTTCACATGATGTATTCTGTATATAAGTTAAATAAACAGGGAAACAATATACAGCCTTATCGTACTCCTTTCCCAATTTTGAACCAATGAGTTGTTCCATATCCAGTTCCAACTGTTGCTTCCTGTCCCACATAGAGATTTCTCAGGAGACAGATAAGGTGGTCAGGCACTCTGATTTCTTTAAAAACTTGCCATAGCTTACTGTGGTCCACACAATCAAAGGCTTTTGCATAGTCAATGAAGTGAAAGTAGATGTTTTTCTGGAACTCTCTGAATTTCTCCATAATCCAGCGCATGTTAGCAATTTGGTCTCTAGTTCCTCTGCTCCTTTGGAATCCAGCTTGTACTTCTGGGAGTTCTTGGTCCACATAGCGCTGAAGCCTATCTTGTAGGATTTTGAGCATAACCTTGCTAGTGTGTGAAATGAGTGCAATTGTATGGTAATTGGAGCATTCTTTTGCACTCCCTTTTTCGGGATTGGGAAGTATACTGATCTTTTCCAGTCCTCTGGCCACTGCTGAACTTTCCAAACTTGCTGGTATATTGAGTATATCACCTTAACAGCATCATCTTTTAAGATTTTAAAGAGTTCAACTAGAATGCCATCACTTCCATTGGCCTTGTTGTTAGCCATGCTTTCTAAGGCCCACTTGACTTCACTCCCCAGGATGTCTGGCTCAAGGTCAGCAACCGCACTATCTGGGTTGTCTGGGACATCCAGAT